GATTCTCAAAAACTCCAAAGAACTTTTAGAAAATTGAAAATTACAAAGTCAGCAACATCAAAACTTATTATTTTGTAACTCTTTATACAACCATTCCTCACGAAAAAATAAAGATCAGGCTTTTTGATATCGCAGGCAATTGCTTCCTCAATACAAATTGGAACTAGGAAATTCTCTTATGATTGGTCTTCAATAAAATTAATATGTCGAAATATCTTATTCGATAAGCAAGTGCATGCTCAGAGTACGATCAAATTTGAGAATTTTATGTTTTGCAAAAACAACTTATCATTGACTAATATTGTGACTGACATGTTTCATACCAATTGTTAGACCATTGTTTCTTTTCATAATATATTTTACTGATTGTTTCGTCTACATGATCAATACATATGGTCACGGCAGGTGTGATCGGTCAACAATGGATGCTTACTCCTCCTAGGCACCTGATCCCACCACTGGAATTTCCAGGGGTCCGTGTTTTACTGTATGTGTACTGTACTGTATGTAGCGGGCTTCATATTTTAGTGACTTTAGCGCGCACAACAATGCGCTAATTCATTAATTTCGATAATAAATCATTTATAAATACGATACACGGCGCAGATTTATGTAGCGCTAATTCATGATTACGCCAGTGATTCCCGGTGAATACGCTAAATTTTGAATACATCAATTTATGAACAAGTACAGTATGTCTTATTCACCATTCGTACTGTTTTCAAGAATTTTGAGATTTATTATTGTTCTTCATCTTCCCCTTTTCATTCACCTCTTGCTTAATCTCTGTTCCATCTCCTTAACACTGCCTTAGAGAAGTTCAAATGGACAGGCCTTAATAATATATACATGTTGTATAGATATATTTTATATATATATTTGTTTTTTTTTAATAAATAATAAATAAATGGTCTTCTGAGCTTAATTACTGTTCGTTTTCTTCATATTCAATAAACAACCAACGAGTTACCCAGTCGAAACTTGAGTAATCATCTTTTGGTCGCCGGTCATGTGATGGAAAGTCAACTAATTTAAAGGGAATTATGAGAACTGAGATGAAATAAGTGTTTCCTCATTTCTAATAAATTTGTAATCACTTTTGTTCGTAAGCTGACGATGAAGATAAATGCTGAACAGTGTCATTACATTCCTTATAATAAATTTTTACAATAATTATTGTATTTGAACGTTTATTCAAATGAGAGGCAAAATAGGCCCAAATTTTATCTATTACATTCTCAACCACTGATTTATTTGTAAACTGATATTTCCATTAAATCTTCCTTGCCTTTGGAGCTAATTTAAAATTTAAAGAATCAAAAATCTTTTGAAGATTTTATCTTTGTTGCCACAATAATTTCATCCGACAGTAACAATACCAGATATTATTCTGCCGTTAAACATAACAGGGGAAAAATTAATAAAACGTAACTGTATGGTAGTTATCCTGGATTTTCAATTCTTGACATTTATGGTGAAATTAACAGATCATCCTTTTTTACTCCTGTACATTCAATAAATGTATATAATAGCAAACATCAGTAAATGTACTTATTTCTTAATTTCATTGACATGTATCATGTACAAATTGAAAAGTTTTCTGACTTTATTTTGAAACAGTTAACATTGGAATGATATTTTGTTTAAAAAATGAAAATAGGTGGCTTATTTAATTAATTTATTGTTCATTTGAGTAGTTGCTTTCTTTATTTTGGTTTAAAGTTTCACATTTGCAAGATATTATCGTTTTATAAGTATATCATAGATGTGTGATTCTGTTCTGTGAAAATGCAATAAACTAACAGGCAATATACAAATCATCCAAAAAAAAAAAAAAAAAAAAAAAAAAAAAAAATACATTTCATAATTTAATTGCCAAGAAAGTTATGTCATCATCTATGTATGAAATATATGGAGATAACGAACAGTATTCAAGCTCAAAAGTCCATTAAACAATACAAAATAGGAGCAGAGCAAACACGGACCTCCAAACATCAGAGGTGGGATCAGGTGCCATGGAGGAGTGAGCATTCCCTGCCGACCGGTCACACCCGCCGTGTGCTCCTTGTCATGATCGGGAAATAACGGAAAAATCCGTCGACAATTCAGTGTGTAAATAATGGCCTAACAATAAGTATGAAAAACGTCAGTCAGCATTTGACTCAATGATAAATTGTATTTGCTGACAAGGTCATAGTATCGACCATAGAACTTACGATGTATATGATTTGTACATTTATCTGGTACGTTATTGAACTTTTCTATTCAATTTCATACTAAAAATAACTACACTAAAATTCTAACATTATATGTAACTTCTTCGTCAGATATTGTTATTTTTACAAACAAATTACATTTTTATGTGAATGTCCTTTTAAATGTGATAATTTAATCGTGAGGAAACATTGATATTCACGATCTGTATATACTTATAAATTCTCCATTACACAAGATTCCACATTTATTCTATTCCAAACAGTTAATGACTTCCATATACTATGAATATGAAAGGGTAGAGATACATTTTTTCTTAAATGCTTGATCCCTAATACATACATTTTAAAGTATTTTATTATTCCTGTGTGGTTTCCACATTATACTTGTATTGTTGATGATGTTGGTGTTTGTCATGCTTCTTTCCACAGTGTACTGGTACTGTTGTTGATTCTGATCACTGAGAATGAAATCACGAGGGATGGTGTCTCGATCTAACAAACAAAGATACATATATATAGGTTTCATAAAAACCTTTATGTTTATGCATAAAGCGTGAAATATAAAATGTGAATACATTACAATGGGATTTTACAATCAAAATGGTATTCCAGTATACATATAAATATAGAAAGCTTTGCATGTCAAAGTCTGACAAAAGAAGTACATCCTCCTCATTCACATTTATCTAAGATATTTCCTAATTCTTTTCTCTTCTTTCTCTGTCAACTTTTCTCATTTGTCCTTCCTCTTATCTTCCATCACCATATTGAAAACTCTTTGAACTGTACCCAAAGTGCAAATCCACCAATGTCCCCTTTCTGAACAATTTGTTTGTGGCACAGAATAATCTCTAAAAATTATTTTTTAAAATAATTAGCATTAAAAATAATAACAAGAGGTCCAGGAACCACATTGTTCACCTGAGCAACAATGGCAAACTCACTTAACTCTGACACAAGTGGCTTTTGTAAAATACAATACAAAAAAGTGCTGGAATAAATTGCAAAAGTATTGTTTTGATATTTGTTCCATACTGCTCAAATTCACTCAAGATTCCCTCCTTAGGCCCCACTATTGTAGCAATGTAGAATTTGTTAAAAAGACTTAATTTTTTCCTATACACAAGTATAAATAACTGTGTAAAACTTTGCAACCCTTCAGGGGCCCCACTGGTGGTTTTGTGGTCATTGTTTCAACAAACTTGAAACAACACTGCATAGGGATGTTTGCAAAATAATATCACAAATTGTAGTGTGGTAGTTCTTGAAAAGCAGATGTTTAAAGACTTTACCCTATATAATTTATAGGTTGAACTTTGAACCCCTACTGGTACCTTATTATTGGTCCTCTGTGCCAAGTTCAGTTGAAATTAGTCCAGCGGTTCTGGAAAAGAAGACATAAATGTGAAAAGTTTATGCCAACAACGATGATGATGGACAACAGACAATTTTGATCAGAAAACTTCACTTGGGCCTTCGGCTCAGATGAGCTAAAAACAAGTACTTTCATTTAAAATGATAGTACTTGTTTTTACCTCATCTGAGCCGAAGGCTCAAGTGATTTTAAGGATGAATATGATTGGAAAAATTGTTTGTGACATCCAACAAACATGAACTAATTTTCTATCATTGATCATATTTACCAGCATAGATGTCCTTCGAATAAACAAATATATATCTCAAAATTTTAACATTAAAGTTTAACATCTATATTTTTACATTTTTAAAATGTTGACTGCTTACTGTTTTCATGCTAGCATCATACTAGCAGCAGTGTGAAGTATTCCCTCTCTGGATTTGTTAGCATAATTGTAGGAGGAAGGAAACATTTTTATCGATAATTATGAAGAGACTTAATGGAGGGACCTTCTATATCAACTTCTTTGTTACCCATCAGCTAAACCATTTTTTTCCCTAAACAATTCAATTCACAATGTATAGCTTAAATGGAATGCAGTGCAAAATTTTGTTTTGACAAGGTAATTCAATTTAGCAATAGACTTTGATACTTCTTAGGTTGATATGTAACATTATACAATTAATTACTCCTTATAAGGTCAACATGGTGAAATAAGGACCCGAGACCTGGCCCACGAGGTGACCTGACCTGAACAAGGCCGCGTAGCGGCCTAGGTCAGGTCAGTTCAGCGAGTGGGCCAGATCGAGGGTCCTTATTTCACCATGTTGAACTCATAAGGGGTAATCAATTGTTTTATTATACCGGTATAAGTTGATTAAGACAATTTTTGTAGGCTTAATTACTAAAATAATCAATTATGTATTAGACATACGAACTGTTATTATCAGTGTTTCATCGGGATCGGGATTCGCTAGTGAAGTTGCTTACTTTTTGCCTGCAAGTCTTGTAAGTTTTTGCAACGCCGATTTATTAAAACACTCTGTGATTGTCATTAACATGCATTTTTATAAATTCATAAATACCATTTCCGAGTACAATTACAATCTGGTGCAGACTTTAACTGTACAAAAGAGCCAAGTCTGCATTCGTTGAATTGACTTTAGAGGTCAGTGTTTGCTCTGCTCCCGATTTGTATCATTGAAATTTTAAGCTTGATTACTGTACCTTATCTCCAAAATATTACATGTATATTTAACAAATTACATATTTCCGTGTTGTTCTTAGAAATTTGATAGTTATATCGTGATTAAGAATTGATTTTTACAATTTCAAATCCTGTATATACTTATATATTCTCTGTTACACATCATTTTTCAGCTTATTCGTTTCTATCAATAATAGTTCACCAAACGTACGCGTAGAATATGAAAAGGTATAGATGCATTATTATGAGCTTAATTCCTACGTTTTCTACTTTTTCCTGGTGTCTTTACCGATTCCACAAAGTATCTTTACTATTTTGATATTGGTCATTGTCTTGTGTGGTTCTACGTTTTAATTGTACGCTTTACTTTACTTTTGATCATTGTCATGTTTCTTTTCACAGCGTACTTGTACTGTTGCTTATCTTGGCCACTGCCGTGTTTGATTCTATCCAGGAGACACCACAGCAGATCGTTAACAAATACAACAACTACAGGACAATCTGTAATGGACTTGGATATCAGAACCTAAGTTGCAAAACGGACAAGAAAGGTTTAGATTTATGTTAAATAAACTTTGAGTGGTTTTCAATATATGAAGAAGATATTCTTTGTTTTGTTGTTGGATTTGGAATTGATTTTACGGAATTCTTTTACGTGTGATACAGGATATATATATATATATATATATATATATATATATATATATATATATATATATATATATATATATATATATATATATATATATATATATATATATATATATATATATATATATACACTCACACATATATATAACTATTAAATCCAAATTTAAATGAAAAACTCAAACTTTAATCTAAATAAGACAATGTACGATTTACTGTTGGTCGTAATTAATTAGCGATAATTAATTCGTTCAATTATGTAAATCACACTTTACCAGCGTACACCCGATAAACCGGACGCAATTCATAGCGCTCCGGATTTCTTTGTTCACAACTGTTTATAAACTCCAAATTAAACATGTAACATTGTAAATATTTAGTGTTTGGTAGTTTAGTAGTAGTGCTAGTTGTTTTTGCTTCTCTATTTCCTTTGTTTTTATGACTTCTTAACTTTTTTCTTTGTCCTGAGGAAGGGACAGGTTGTCCCGAAAATTTGACAATTATTATTGTTCGTGTCGTTGGTCATTTTTAGTGCTTTATATATATATATATATATATATATATATATATATATATATATATATAGAGAGAGAGAGAGAGAGAGAGAGAGAGAGAGAGAGAGAGAGAGAGAGATTTATACGAGTACGAAGCAAATTATATCATTAAAAAAAATCTTTATTTCGTGTCTCACGTGTAAAATAAATTCCATATCTAACTACAAAACATTGAATCTTTTGTCTAGTATATTTTCGTTGATATTCCGTTTGATTCTGTCTTTGTGTACTGTTTTTTCCGAGTTTGGCGATTGTGAAACCTTATATCTAAGCGATTGTGAGATTGAAAATTTCATAAATTTAAGAAATTTCGGCAGTTACAGCATTTGTCAGAAGAGTTTATTTACTGGATGCTGTCAACAGGGGATTGTTTCTCCTCCTAGGCACCTGATCCCACTTCTGGTATTTCCGGGGATCCGTGTTGATGCCCTTTTCACATTGCATTGTTTGTTGATTTTTTTTTTAGAACGATGGCTGTTCGTTATATTCACCTTTTTTTAATTATTATTCTCGCTATTTAATAACAAGGGTATTTTCCTTAAAACACCCCTCATGAAGGGAACGAAACATCGAGAGTTTGTCGCTTAAGATTTTCTCACAAAGAAAAATATTCCCTTTTACAATATTTGCTACGAAATATAGCACTGTAAAAAATCTCTTCATGTAATTAATAAATAAATGTTTTTACTGTTGAAAATGTTTTTACTGTTGAAAAGTCGCCCGCGTGGCGCAATGGTTAGAGCGTTCGCTCTAGAATCGCGGAGTAAGGAGTTCTTCCTTACGTCTTCCTTACTGTGGGACTGGAGACCGGTCCTTCGGGTGTCGCAGTAGGTGCTGGCACGAAAAAGATCCCTCACTGCTCAATGGTCCTGTGTGCCGAGTATAGGTCAAAATTTGCAGCTCTCCACCGGCAAGTAGTGGCGTCTCCATATGAATGAAAAATTCTCGAGAGTACGTTAATCAATAAAGAAATACTGTTGAAAATGTAACAAAAGTACTTTTTTACATTGTAATGTTCCTTGGGAGGCGTAAGTCGCAAATTATTTGAAAAATAAGTAATTAGGATATTTATGTTAAATTCAACAGCTACATGTTACAAATCTTCTTATAGATCATTGGTTTAAACATTTATACTTTCTTTTTTTTTTTTTATAAAGGAAAGGTGTAAGTTGCTTTTCAAACGACACTAAGCAAGTACTTGGAGAACATGGGTAATGAACAGAGAGTGATATTTGACAAGGTGACCTTGAACGAAGGAAATGGCTATGATAAGAAGACAGGCGTATTTACCGCCCCTGACGAGGGTGTGTATAAATTCAGCTGGACAATCATGACAAAAGGAGGTAAATATTTCATCAGTGAGATTATACATGATGGTAAAAAGATAGCAAGAAACTATGCAGATGGAAGAGGTCTCACTGGCTATGATATGTCAACAACAAATGCCATTGTCAAAATGAAGAAAGGCGATAAAGTGTGGATAAGAACATACCATAACTACGGCCAATATGCTTTTGGTGAACATTGGGGAAATTTTTCCGGAAATAAGTTATAAATATAACATTTATTCAGAATAAAAATTTGACACAATGACAGAACTCATTTCATTTTCTATACCTACTTGAGTTTACAATAAGAAAAAAAAAATGTTGTCATAACATCTTCTAAACATATTTCTTTTTATATCTCCGTTAATCTTTAAACACCTTTTTATTGCTATGGAAATAAATGGATCCAACTTACCCCATTTTATCGTGGCCATCAATTTATGAACTTGAGATGACCTTAACCTGTGAGATATAACTTTGATATACATGTGATCCATCAACCACATATGATGCTTTATTTCATTTCAATGAAGGGATTCTACATTTTGGTCTGGACACTATCTCTGTCTTATTGTGAAATATCATCTGAATCGATTTTTTTCGATTATATTGGCATGTCTCCTTTTGCTTCTGGGACGTTAAAGGACCAACGTCTTTAATGCTCTTCCTTGAAATATGATTTTAAGACATAGAAATCTAGGTCATGATCTGGATACACTATGATATCCATATATCGGAAGGTTACAACAATTTTGTGAGTTTACATACTTTTTTAGAGATCATATTTTACCTGTTAATAAAAAAGACCCCGTGTAACGACAAGCGGGGATTGGTAATTCACCGATAGCTGTTGACATCTCAGTAAATCTTACTGGATAAGAAATCTTTTAAATATAAAACCATAATTATCAAATCAAAATTTTGTCCTTTTCAAAATTAAAAAAAAAAACATTTAAGACATTCATTGAATATCCATTTATCACACACACACACACACACACTCACACACACACACATGATTTGGCACTTCTTTTAAGTTTCAAAAAGATTGAATTAAAAAGCAACCAAGAAAGATGAAATTAAAAAAAAAAATACCACTTTAAAAAGTTTCCATGGCAACAGTGACCATTTTGAAAATTTTGAATATAGATTGCACATTTTTAGTTAGTGTTCATTATGACAGTGGAGTTTCATGAAGATTGACTGAGCTATCTGCGAGAAATTGTGCGGACAGCGTTGTCGGTCGAAAAATTTCGTTCGGGTTGACATAATTAAATTGAATGTAAGTATTGGGATTACTTTCACGTGATTTAAATGATTCAATGAAAATACATTATTTTCTTCATAATCCTTTTTAGAGCCTTAAAGTACGGGAAAAAGAAAGTTTAAATTGAATATGACGTTATAATGGATCAAGCATCAAGAAAAAAAAACTGAAGGCATTTACTAGATCTTGACCTTAAAGGGGCTTAGAAACAGATTTGAAGTTAATATTTTCTCAAATTTTCTGTATAATATCATGACTTATATGTTGCTATATCATTTAACATGGAAATATAATAAAAAAAACTTTATCTGTTGACCATTCTTGAATGTTCTAAAAGTTTCTTTATGTTACTTAATATATACATGATGAAACAATACAAACATATTTCAATTACAACATACCTCACAACAGTAATCTAGTGTCAGGACGATCTCTTAATGACCAGGAGACCCGGGCCCAATTCTTGTTCACCGAGCCGCTTTAAATCTTAGACGTAAACATAGGTAGTGCTTGTTACTCTGTTCTGAAAGTAAAACCTAAGTCGATAAAAAAGGTAGGAACTGTTCCTTTTCCAAGCACCCAATACTAAAAGTGAGTGGTCTTTCGGATTAAATCTTAAAAACCGAGCTCCCCTGTCACGATGTGTTGGTAAGATAAGGTACCCTCACTGCTCAATGACCCTGAGTGGCGAGTATAGGTCTAAGTTTGAGGCCCTTCACTTGTTTATGGTGAAGGTTCTATATGAGCGAAAAATTTTCGAAAGGACGTAAAACGATATAAATCAGTCAATCATTCAATCTTATTGCTGTAAACTTATCGTATTATGATTTTCGTACATGTATGTTTGTATTTCATTTTTCAATTATCTTTAAATAGACTATAACATTATGGTATGCATATGCTAGGGCATTCAATTTTCAATTATTTTTCATTTGCTGTAGATTCACTGGGAGAGGAGGAAGGAGCATGGGCGGAAAGGGGGGGGGGAGATATTCTCCAAGCTAAAATTGTCAAAGATAAGGTTACATGTGTGCATTTAGATTTTAGGATTGATAATAAAAGAAAGAAGAAAGAGAAACCGGTTATAATAATAAAGTGAATATTTTGAAATATGTTTAACCTAATACATTTATTAAATAGATGCATGAGATTTAGGTCTTTTGATTAATCAGCTTAGTCAATTTCATTACTCAGAAATTTCCACAATGCAAACCTGCCATCAGCTACTTCGTACCAAAAAATATAAAAATTTTGACTACTGAGAATACCTTATTTGTTTCAGATTTTTATTAAACGCCATGCTTTTATATTTTAAAAATGACCATCATCTACCAGCAAGAATTATGCACCTGTATATACATACGTTTTCAAGACTGATTAAGCCTTTTCAACGAAGATAAGTATCATTAAAATATTTTGGTATAAATTGCGTCAATACTTGTTGGTTGTTTATTGAAATCAAAAAGTAAGAGTCAAAACGATTGCCTTTTTATAAATATCGACATCATTACATAACACAGTTCTGTCAAAAAATGTTTAATAAGGGCAATTTTTCTGCTAAAATTTCCTTAAAATATTTATAATTAAGGATAATTATTAATTGAATTATTCCCTTCAAATCATGAGCTGTAGGGGAGCTGTAGGGGACTTCGCCTTAAGGTTGCTGCCAGACCATCCACCTCTTTATATATATTAAATTCCCTCCCAAAACTAAACCCTAAAATTTTAGTATCCGTCCTTGAGACAAGTTACCTTAGGAATTTTATGGAGCTGTCAGGGGAAGATATATTTAAAGAAGTTTTAATATTTCTCTGCAAATTTTATCTTTTTAATTGATTTGATTCAAACTTTCTACTTCAAGTAAACTTAATGTGGATAAATTACATTCATTCAATTTACGGGTCTTAATACTTACTGATTTTCAACCTTAATGTCAAGTACATAAGAACAATGCCTTTATTGTCATGATTTTTTTTAAATGTAAATATTTAGCTTATCGTTAGGGTTTTGATATTGAATGAGTCTTTAAACTCTCTAAAAGAAGAGTACAGGTAATGACACTGTTTTCTCATAATGCAAACCGAAAGTAAAAGCTAAGCGGTTTGCTTCAAATAAATACATTGAAAATATACAGGTATGTCTTCTTTAAACAATCATCATTTTCCAATTATATAAACTTAAGTAATGTAATAATGCATATTTACCTTTTTAGGGTTGTAAATTATCCAATGGCATTTTCTTTTTACATAATCGCATTCAGTAGTAAGATATGTTTTGCGTAATGAGTGTTAACGTTTATATTTTACACTTCAAAAAAAAAGGCTTACAAAGTTTACAAGTTGTAATTTACAGGATTTTTTTTTGAAATTAGGAAACTGTATAATACATCATAAAAATGTTGACGTGTATATTAAGTAGCCTTTCTCATATTGATCATAACGTGTTATTTAAAGGTTGTCTTGATGAGCCTAAGTTCCAATTCCATTTATCGATCCACAGAAGAATTAACTAATTCTATGTTGACGAAACTCCCATCATAAAACACGGAGGTAAAAGAAAAATCCTTTTATTTTGCAGATACGTTATATGTTTTTATTTTCAGATAAAACAAAATGTATCACACCACTCGACTATCAGAGGCAATCTATGTGGGACTGTGTCTTGAAATAGGGACCCCAACGGAAGTGAAGATCAGGAGAGAAATAATGGACATTGACGAGGTTGTTAATAAATCTCTGTACATTGTGAGGGGATTTGACACAATGAGGAGTGGGAATAAGCGTGAGGGATTCAGACTGAGAACTTCAGATGAGGATATGATGCTCTGGGTTCCTAATCACAAGGTAATCAATGACCTCTCTCAAGTCAGTCTCTATCGTATCCCTCAGCACACTATGATTCTGATGGAGAGTAATGATACACCACCGGGATTTACCAGACTTAAACTGTTGAGTCCATCAAAGAGGTCTGTAATCATATCATCCTGTATTATGATAAATAAAAAAGTTTATATATCTAGTACATTATTCCGCAATAATTATTTGCAAATTCTCCAGGATTTTTTGCTCTTGTTCTTCATTGGTCGTAGGAGGATCTGGTGAAGTAGACTTTGCATTCTGTATGAAGTCACACCACTGGCCAACAATAGCACTGCCTTGGATACAGAGATGTCATCTAAAAGGATGGCCCTCCGAGACTGTGGTATCGGATATATTAAGCGGAGGATTTCATCTTGTTCCGATTGGCAGTACACCTGAAGATGCACAAGAATGGAGAATCTCATTCTCGCAAGCCGAGCAAAAACTTCTTTATTTCATGAATCATTGTCAGTTTTTGAGTTACGGTCTTTTAAAGATTTTTCTAAAAGAAATGATAAATTTTCAGAACAAGGCACCCATTCTTTGTTCATACTACATAAAAACAATTGTATTTTGGGTAATTCAGAGTAATAGGTCATTGACTTGGACACCTGGAAATTTATTGTCTTGTTTCTGGGAATGTTTTAAATTATTAATATTTTGGATACGTATTGGAGAATGTCCAAACTTTTTTATTCCGCAAAGCAACATGTTTCGTCTAAAAATGACCGATTCTGTACAAACTTCATTGTACAGACAATTGTATGATTTGAATTGTAATGGAATATCAAGTTTACTATTGAGTGAAACAATAAGACCTTACCTCAGTAAGCCCATTTTGAATAGAACATTGGGAGTATGTACAGACGAGAACAGTTTCATAAACAGCACCGTGTAATTAGATTTTGCCTTTTAGGGAGAAAGAGCCCAATTAATGCACATTTATCTTATTCTTTATCTTAAAGAATTCGCCGTTTATATGGGAGAAGTGGAGAAAATGATAAAAGGAAAGATGACATTATATCAGACAGTCTCATTGGAATGTACAACATCTGAGGTATTACGAAACACTGCCATGTTAATACAAAGTAGTATATTTTCAGTTGAACATTCCAATAAGGCTAATTACAAAGCTAATTGTGTATCTGCGTTGCTAAAAGTGTCATGTAAACTAGGTTGTGTGTCAGATATTCTGTATCTTGCCATGTACTTCTACAAAACACGCAGGTATGAACAGTCACTCAATTGTTTATATAAGGCACAGTGGAGAATGTCATCACTGTACATCTTGTATCGTGGTCAGGGAAATGTAGCTATGTACAGACGATACATGGATGGAATGACATTGGGTTATAAAATCAGAAGAGCCCTAATAAAAGACATTGTGTTACACAAAAATTATACTTACATAGATGAATTAGTGTTAGAGCAAAACAATAGTCAATTTTCTGTATTAATCCCACCCTCAGTGATGTTACACATATTGTTAGTGCTGAATCATCACAAAATGGGTGACAAAGTCAGTTCAGAAAAATATATACGGGATCTACAGACAATGCTGCTCACTGATAAAGGGCTATATGTACCTATTCGCTTTAGAGAAATTTCATGGCAAATACTGGGTATCTCTCAACAAATTTGTGGGTATAATTTGGAATCTCTACAATCGTATCAATATTCGTTGCAACAATTTCCCTTCAACAATATAAAGAAAGCAACATTGATTAGAATAATCATACTCATCTTTAAAGTGACCAATGCAGAAGATTCAGGAAGCCACAATGTTAAGAATATACACACTGGCGTTTAAAGCGATCACATATGATGTTTTTAATAATACGATTGTTTATATTGATTGTGTTTTAAGACGCTGAAATTTTCCATTGATGTTTGTCATTTTTATTTTCTGTATTCAATAGCTACATTGTATATGCTTGCATGCTCTTACATCGTTTTTATTTATAGGTATCTCACGTTCGTAATCAATGTTACTCATACTTTTTTTTCGGATGAACGTGTAGGAATGTTTTGTATTTTAACTTTTAACATGATGAATGTCATGTTTTTAGATAATTTTACTCTTTTTTGGTTAAATATACAAAATACACAATATTTTCAAAGTGCTTATGTTTTTTTTTTATAATTTGTTTAAGATGGAGAAATTCACAATAATATTGAAACAGAGGAAAAATTAAGTAAAATCATTTATTATTTTCCGATATGTACTTTTTGATTCTTTCATAATATATCGATGTATCACATACCTCGCCTGTTAGAAGTTGTGAATGTGGGACTGTATCCTAAAATAGGGAGTCCTACAGTGATGAGGATCTGGAGACAAGTATTGGACACTGATGAGACTACAAATAAATCTGTTTACGTTATTAGGGGTTTTGACAGATTGACAAGTTGGAGTAGACATAGAGGATTCATACTGAAGTCTTCAGATATAGATTTCATGCTATGGCTTCTGAATCATAAGGCAATCTGTGATCTCTCTCAGATCAGTCTTGATTTTATCCCCAAAACACTATGATTCTGATGGAATGTGATGACGATTTAGCATTGGGATTTACAGAAAAAAATTTATGAGTCCTCAAATAATACAAAAATCAGTTCCACCCGTGTAGTAATGAATAACGAAGTATACATTTCAAGTACATTATTAAGAGATAACCGTTTGCAATTCTTAAGAACCAGTAATATCTCCCACGCTTCTGCTGGCCATCAAGTACCTTATTCTACATATTCCATTTTCCATGATGCAGGGACTGGCTTTGTGTTCTGCTTACCCTACTGGCCTACGTCAGCACTACAGAGAAGTCATGAACAGGGCTGGTCAGGCTGGTCAATCCCAGAATGGTGCAACGGATATATTAAGCGGAGGATTTCATGTTGTTCCTTTTGGCAGCAAACTTGAAAATAAACTAAAATGGAGTATCTCATTCTCTCTAGCAGAACAAAAACTCGTTTATTCGACGAATCTCTTTCAGCTTTGTGTTATGGTCTCCTTAAATTTTTCTGAAAGAAGAATTCATTGTTATAATAATACACACATTCTTTGCTCATACTTCATGAAAACAATTGTTTTTTTTTTTTTTTTGGTTTATACAGAGTGATACTGATTTGGACACCTGATAACTTATTGCTTGACTTTTAGGGGAACTTTAAATTATTGATAAACATGGTACGTAATGGGAAATGCCGAGACTTTTTATTCAAAAAAAAAAAAAAAAAAAAAAAAAAAAAAAATGTTTCGACTACAAGTCATCGGTTCTGCACAAATGTCACTGTTCCGTTAGTTATTTGATTTATAGTGTAAGGGAATATCTTGTTTACTATTAAGTGAAACCATCGGACCTTGTCTCAGTATTGCTATATTAAACAGAACATTGAAAGTCTGTACAGGCGAGAGCAGTATCATCTCTACCACTGAATTCCAGCACCAAGTTAGATATGAGCTTATTGAGTGAATTATCTGTAGTTTATCTTTAGATTACAAGTGTTGAAGAATTTGCAGTTTACATGACACAGATAAAAAGAATGATTTGGAAAAGGTTGACACCAAATGAGAATGTTACTTTACAATATATATCTCATCAAATGTGCTTCAGAATACTGCCATGTCCTTACATAGTAGTATATATCAAAATGAAAATCGCAATAAGGTTTGTTCTAAAGATAATGGAGTATCCACATTACTTAAACAGTGTAAGTTTGGTTGTTTATATGACATTCTGTATCTTGCTTTGTACTTCTACAGAACTTGTAAATATGAAGACTCAGTTGTTCTTATCAAGCGCAGGAGAGAATGTCTCTGCTATATATTAATGTATAGGAATTATTTTGATGAAGATGTGTACAGACACTAGATGGAAAAGAATAACCTAGGAACTTAGGTGCGAAGAGCTCGTGAGAAATATTGAATTACACTTACATTGATGTACTAATTCTAGAACGGAAGAATGGCATTCATTCATTATCTATCTCACTTGGTGACACAATCAGCATTTCTATCGTCAACTTCCATTACTTATGAGGCAATATACCCTTATCACCTGCATATGGTGTTTTAGTCTCCCAGTCGAATCAATACGCAAGAGCAGGTTCCACGTGCGAACAATTAATAAAACGATTCAAGTTATTGCCAAAAAACTTGATGAAAAAGCGATATCAACAGTCTCGTTTAAAATGAGCATTTTGCAAGTTCTACGGTCGATAAAATGACCTTGTCAGAAAATACCATCTATCATTAATCCAAATGCTTGTGAGGCCATTATTTACACATTGAATTTTCTACGAATTTTTCTGTTTGTCCGCTCATGACAATAAGCACACAACGGGATGCTCACTCCTCCATGACACCTGACCCAACTCTGATACTGGTAAGTGTTTGCTCTGCTCCCGATTGTATTGTTTCAATGGACTTTTGAGATTGATAACTGTTCGTTATCTCCATATTTCATTTCAAGTGATTGTCTATTAATAGAAACATACCTTTACTGAGATTAAATCAAAAGAAGTGCTTCTATTTTGATATTGATTTACTTTTAAGATCACATTTTCCATATGTCGTAAAAATAATAATAGTTCATTCAAGTTCTTTATAAAAGTATAAAATCTTACACTTTGCAAAATACATACTAACTTGTATTGATAACAGACAAAACCTGTAACAGCATGTCAAAAAGAAAATCTCACGTCACAAGTATTATCTGTATTCACATTCTTGCTCCTGGTAGATATAAAAGTAATTTTTCTGTGTGGGATAAACTATTTGCCTTTAATCACCTTTAGTGACTTTTTTGATTCTTCGAAATTCAAATGTGCTCTTCAAAAACATACTTGATAACTTTTGTATGTATTGCATTATCTTCGTTCGGTTTTGTGATCATTGGTATTTTTGATAAAAAGTGGGTGGAAACACCCAATTTTTGTATTTCAGTTTTCCCGGATAGCAATGAATGTGGTGCAGGTAAGATTTCATTTATTCATACACAAACATATATAGCCACTTGGATTCATCGGTTATTATTTTTATTTCTAAGAACATAATTTCCAATAAAATATGTTGACTTTAGAAAAAATGACATAATAGGGCTTCATTCTTTTATTTAGGCGACCTTACTAATTTGCTTCTGGTTAGCAACTGGGTGTGCCTCCTAACGGCAATTTTCTTTGTGTTAACTATTTGTTTTAACTGGTGGAATTCTGACACTGAGGCTCGCAAGTGGGTCAATGGAATTGTAATAGTGGCTTACCAACTGGCAGGTTAAGATTATTTTCAAGGCAATAATGCATTCCTTAAATAATGATTAAATGTTCATTAAAATAATATTTATCAATATGCTATTTAATATCAACAACGATAAGATAAAGAAAAATCAGATGATATCAGTTGTAAGTTTTTGTTAAAAGATACAAAATCATGTATATATTAATATATACATTTCTTATATAATTTATATTTTCTTTCAATCAAGGTGTTCTAGGATTCATTGGATGTATAATACTTCTGTCAAAATATTCAAATGAAATTCGTTGGGGCTGTGTTTTTGGATTCATAGGTTACTCATTAAGCGTTCTTCAGGTAATCAAATGAAGATTACGAACAGTATTCGATCTCAAAAGGCCATTGAAACAATACAAAATTGGATCAGAACAAACATGGACCTCTCAAAAAAAAAGCAGAGGTAAGATCATGGGCGATGGGGGAGAAGGCATTTATTCATAGGACATTTATCATGCGTTCTTCAGGTATTAGAATTTGTCAAAATTCATAATGTGAGAAAGGGTATATGGGTTGTCAATCGCAAAATGAAAACTGAAAAATCATAGTTGATGAACATTATAACTACTACAAAAATACAAATTTTAAGGAAAAGTAAATAAGTTTTGTAATAAAAATATATGGAATCAAACCAAAAAAACTTTTTCCAAGCAATAACGGTGCTTTATTGGAAACGAAAGCAGCTCAAGCTTCTATTTCTTTACATTTTAGAAAATGTAAAATTTTAGTAAATGTTTAATTTTTGTTTCCATCAAAATATAACAATTTGAAAAAATTAACCCCATAAACCTGAAGAGAAATTACATTCTGCGTATTATACAGTTTAGAATACCTTTAAAGGGAAAAATTATTTCCTTTCTAATTTCCATGGCAGCAACTAAAAAATTAGTCCAATCATTTTTTTCTTCTTCAGAAATCTGTTTGCCTTAATGCAAGCAATAACACTTTACATAATGTTTCGAACCAATTTGTTGGTCAGGTACCAGAAAAAAGTAAATCTAAAATTTGCACTGTTCTTTTTTTTCCTTTGTAACAATGGCAGTAATGCTTTAATGTTTCACAACAATTGGCTATCCAGGTACTAAGAAGCTATTTATTATTAGATTTTTTTCCATTGCAACGTTGACCATTTCGAAAATTGTATCCATAACTATACTTAAGGACAGATGATACAAACATTTTTTTTCTTTGGAGGAGACTTAATATCATGTCACAGTTTTAGAAAAGTGGATAATTCTTTGAATATTTCTCCTTAGACTCGGAGAATGAAATACCTTCCATAGTACCCCAAAACAGTACACAACTAGAGTAATCATGGTAAAATTGTTTAAAAATCATTCATTTACCCTCTTTTTTCTTCAAACATGTTTCTAAAGGAGTGCAGCGTGAACTGATATTACATTAACTCAATAACCTGTTGTATTTTCTTGCATAAAAAATGACACTTGGAAAATTTTAGTTGATACTTCAATAAAATTACAAATATGGACAAATCACACGCAGTAAAGGTTTACAGATGAAAATAAATTTAAGAATATGTTAGCTTGGTGATAAAAGTGTAATTTAAACTTTAAAAAAAATATACCAAGCCAGGTGAATTTTATAAGAAAAGCAAAATGATAAAAATCAGCACATAGCACATAGGCTAATTTTTACCATTTTTTTTTTTTTACCAATTTTTACCACAAAACCTACCAGTCGGTGTTTCCTATATTATCAACCAACAAACTTAGATGTCTCATTTGAATTAATGATAGTCTAAACCATGTGTTTGAGACGTAAAGATATAATGTTTATAATTTAAAAAAAGATTACATAAAACATGACTGCAGAGTACCTAATTTAGAGACATTCATATTTAAAGCTTTATGTTCCAATTCTTAACCGCCAATTCAACCATATGCTATGAGGGTTTGATCCAGAAATTATGTCACAACTGCTATAAAATCTTGAATAATCGGAAATTATCAACAAATTTTAAATACGTACGACTTTTCCTTAAAATTTAATTTAGTTATATACTTTTTAAACTACTATAATAAACACATCGATCTCGCCTATCGCCACACGGCAAGAATTCATCGACGTTGTTATGCCGTTTTCTTCGGCACTCTTATTCCGTTCATTCATAAATCTATTAAATCTACATTCCCAACCTGTGCTGGACTACCTCATTTTGAGTTGCTTCATAAAAAGTATTTTAACCTTTCATATTGCATTGCATATTCATTTTGCTGTGCGTACTAGCGTTGGATTTAAGAGGAAGCTACGTGAAAGGTTTATCCTTCACACATACATTCTTCTTCCTCTTTTTTTAAGGTCATATATCCGAAAAACCCCAGACCCCAGATTTCCACTTCTACTGCTGGGCACTTGGCGTTGGAACAGTCACTACTTATGTTAACATCTTAGGTCTGATACCGCGTCGGGAACGAGAATCAAATCCTTTTCTCCCGATCAGGCAGCGAACGCCCCACTACTAGGCTACTGCGACTGGTTACAAAGATTACTGAACAGAAGTGTGTAAAATAATTGTCACCCGGCACCACGTGTGCCGAGGGAAGAGGATCTGGCACCTGAATCGGTGTTTCGAGCACATTTTGGAGATTTTCCTGGGCCTGCCACTCGTCAGAGGTCCAACCCGGAGTCAGTTCTAACTATAGTTATATCAATATCTGGGCATTATGTTTCATGCATTCTCAGATATTGCCAATAAATACCAGTAATGAACATTTTCTGTTGGCGGGATTAATAGTGGTCACGCATTATTTCTGTTCCATTGATAAAACTTTGAGAATCCGAAACTATATGTTTTTTTTTTGGATATGTCAATGAATAAAACAATGTTTTTTGTCAAGGAGAATCAATATTCTCTATATAGCGATTTTAAAAATATAGCACAAGTCACATCATTGTGCTAGATGAGTTAGTGCACTTGGCGTGAGAGAAGTTATATATTTGCTGTTTGTTTAGAGTGTGTATTGGGTGATTGACAGCCACATGTATACAAAACTCTGCCCTGCGTGATGTTCGCTTACTTCGATTGTTTGATGTGTTAATTATTATGGCGCGCATTCGAGTTTAAAAGCTCGTATAGGTTTCTATCATTAAGTCAAATGCTAAATCACGTTTTTCTTATTAATTGTTTGACCATTATTTACACACTAAAATGTCTACAGATTTTTACGTTTTTCCCGATCATGACAAGGAGCACACAGCGGGTGTCACTTGTCGACAGGGGATGTTCACACCTCCATGGCATCTGATCCCATCTCTGATGTTTTTGGAGGATGGTGTTTGCTCTGCTCCCGATGTGTATTGTTTAAAATAGACTTTGAGCTAGAATACTGTTCATTATCTCTATATTTCTTTTTATGAATTCATGGTAATTATCTAAATTAATGGATGATAAGACATTGGTAAAACCGTATGATAACCAAGTATTTCTGGTAGATATGTACTTATACATGTTTTTATGGTTCATTGGGCATGCAATGTCAGTCATAATTGTTTTGTTTAAATATTACAAAGGCAAAAAGGAGTTAATAAAAACGTAACAATATGTTGAAACATGAGATATTTAAGTGACTTTCCTTTACTTTGTAGCTCTTCATGATATGCTTCTGCAAATGCGCAATCTCTGATAACGATGAAACTGAAAGAGAGCCAAAAAGTGACGCAGAAGAAAACTATATTTAAAACTCATGCATAAAAGAATACATTTACTGGAACCCGCTATATTTCTTTGTGTGTTTACTTGATATATCCCAGTAAACATGAGAAAAAAGACATCACAGAGTCTACCACATCTGTTTCATATTTGGATGTTTTACTGACTATAAACGATGAACGCAAACTAAGAACTAAATTGCATGACAAACTATATGACTTCAGCTTTTCCATCGTCAGCTTGCCTTATTTATGTTGTAATATCCCACTATCACCTGCATATTGTGTTTACATCTCCCAACTTTTTCGATACTCACGAGCTTGCTCCGAGTACGATCAATTTTTAAACTGCAGCTGGCTACTGACAGATAAGATGATGTTACAGGGATTTCAACAACCTCGTTTTAATTCTTTGGTCGTTATAATGACCTTGTTAGCAAATATAACCTGTCATTGGGCCGTTTGTTTGCTGACGTGTTTCATTGTGATTGTTAGATTTCTATCCCTAGGGATCACGGCGGGAGTGACCGGTCAACAGGGATGCTGACTCCTCCTGCGCACCTGATTCCACAGCTGAAATTTCCATTGTTCTGTTTTTTATGCCCTGCTCACGAATTTGTATTAAGGACAGACGATACGTTCCTCAATAATATATAATTTTTTCTTAGATTTTATCATTGAAGTATTGCTACTTTAACATGTTTACTCGCAAAAAATTGAGGTTCCTTACCAGGCATTTGAGCAAGATACCAGAGGATGTTTTTCCAATAAAATCCTTTCGGAAAAAAACTTAATAAGTCAATAACACATTTTTTGGTGTTTCATTTTTTAAAGACAATTAGAAACCAGTTTAGAAATCAGAAGGTAATTAAAATTTTGAATATTTTCCAGACAATACGAAGGTCTACAAAACAGACATTTGAGGAACGTATCGTCTCACCTTTATTATAGATTTTTATGAGATCGATTAGTGTCCGTTATCTTCACCTTGTCAAGTTATGGATTATAACAATAAAAGATTACTAATGAGAAAAACGTCTAAAATGCCCAGGGTATTTATTGGGGTGGGTATTTTCCTCAAAAACGTGTGTCCGAAAGAGCGATAAATTAGCACATTTTCTATTTATTTAGAAATTATTCAAGGTAACGTAGTATGTAAAGTGTGCGTTATTCTACAAACAGTAATGTAATCGTGATTTTATACATATCTGAAAATACTGGAATAAAATATGAATGACAAATTAAACAATTATATATATGACTTTTATTTTGCGAATATTTAACTACTTTGTTTACTTTTTTAATTTAATTAACTTAATAAATACTTTTTAAATCACGCACACATTAAATAAAGTTGTTTTATTTTTTATCATTTGTGTATTTATATTGGATTTGCGATGGCGCTCTAATTGACTTTCAGTTTTAGATTTATAATAATTTCACTTAGGTTTTTCATCACAAGTACCTTAGAAAAAGAAATGTTACATTTTTTCACCAACAAAAGACATATTTGCGTTATTTGCGTAATTTATTCTCTGAAATACGAAACTGATTTCTGTCGTGATTGATCATCGATATATATATACATCTGCATATAATGATATCATTTATAACACATAATCTATTTTTTATATACCTGTATTTTAATCTGCACCATAGACAATAATTTCTCGCAAAACAGAAAATATTAAAAGGTAAGCTGTATTTTATCATGTTCTAAATTCTTAGTGGATAAAATGTGAGAATAACGGACAGTGAACATTCTAAAATGTCAGTTAAAACGATAAACGTTATTTGTTTAAGGCATTCCATATCTGTTTCGAGTTTCTGTTTTGTTCTATAGTTGATCTATAATAACTAACCTTGGCATTTTCAATAAGTCTTTATTTTAATGAAGCTTATCTCGCATGCGATGTGTTTCCAAAATTTCTTGTGTTAACCATTTAGGTCTTGTGTCGCGCTTCACTCTTTTTGTTTTCACTTTTGTATGTTTGTCTAATACAGCATTAAAGCGCAAATAAAATTGTGTTAATGCTTCACTTGGGCCAGAGAATACTTCTAATGATTGGAAATTTACTTTTTTAAGTCTTGGAGAAAATTTTTTTCATTAATTTTTTTTTGAATTTTCTATATGTAACTTGTTGACATATCATGTAATTTTCTTGTAAAACAAGCAGGGTAGTGGCCAGATATTGCAATTGTTGGTAATGCAGATTCACATAATTATGTTTTCAGGTAAGGTAGTGTATATATGATCGATGAGGGTCAATGAGGGTTGATGAGGTATCTGTTTTTCTTTAGGTACATTAATTATCTGTGTAAAATTATATTCTTCAAAAGCAGAGGTCCAATGTCTTGGGGTGGAGGAGGGGGGGGGGTTAATCAGGTCAATATTAAAGTCACCTGTTGGAATTATTTCAACATTGTCACAGCGGGATGCACAATTTATCTCCATTGTTAGACTTTCTACCCAGCAGGAGGTGGCAGATGGGGGCCTATATGTGTTACAATAAAAATTGGTTTTGAATTTGAGATATTGATTTCAAGCAATATTGTTTCTATATTACCTATTTCAACAACTTATACGTACAGTCATCAAATAAACAGTTGTGGTACAAAACAAACCAAACTTTTACTAAAATTAAAGATTGTAAGGTTTCATTCATGGATATTTGTTACTATATTTTTTTTTCGTACCCCTTGTGTTCCATTTCCAGAAGTTCTATTAATAATTGCAAAACCTGTGATATTTTTATAACAAATAGTTCGTTTAATAGCAACCTTATGGGGCAATTTTTTTTAAACTACAACTGATGAAAATTTGACTTATAAAACTTCCAACAATGTTTATGGAATTGAATGTACTTAGCAGCAACGTAACAGCAAGAGAATGCCGTGGCATAGAATTGAAATAAATAATGAAGGCCATCAACATCTTTATAAACATTTCAATTCGCCTGATCACTCTATTCATTAATGAGAGTTAAAATTTTCGGGAAAAATATATCATCCAACTAATAGTCCTACTTTGAGTACTTCATTCCGTAGTCAACGAGAAGAATACTGGATCAGAAAACTAGGCACGGCCTTTCCGTATGGTTATACGACCACATAAATAATGTAAGGAATCTCTCAAGCCCACAGTGCGCAAATTTGAATGTGATGGGACTTTTTAACAAAACACTTAGGAGTAGTCATGGACAACGATCATACAATAGACCAAATATACATGATTCTTTTGATTCACTTTCGTCTTAGCTCAATAAACGATTAGACCTTCATAATATTCGCACCAAACTCTACTCATTTCCCTTGAATTATTTGAATGGATATTTGAAGAAGCTAAACCTATATCATACTTAAATTCTTTAACTTCAGAATTCAAATAAGTATTTCTGATTATGGATGTTGCCCATCATAAGCGTTTAAGCCATCACATGTGTCGGAAGATAATTCCAACTCAACCCGTCGCTTCTTTGAACTTAAATCTTCCAACAAAGGAATGGATGCTGTGAACATTAGCAACATTTTGAACTATAGAAAGTCAGTCTTGCATTCCACCGTAATTCAATTGAACTTTACACCCTGCATTTCCTACAGATATTCTCAAACTTTGCTTCCAACTTTTCAATTATAAAGAAGCCTTGCAGTGCCTAGATATTGAACATCTAAAATAAAATCCTCTTGAGTGTTCTTGCTCTTCCTCTTTCAACTACAACCCAGCTGGAGCTAAAAGACCTAAAAGCAATTATCTTAAAATATCCTAAATACAGAGAGCCCAGATCTTTAAATTGGCGACAGAACTTTATTTCTATTATGAATCCTGTCGAAGATTACGCCAGACGGTTGGCTAGATATGAAAAGGAAGATCCGAAAACTTTGTCAGAATGGATTAGGTGTTTTAAAATATATTTAAAAAGTTGTATAAGATATTTAAAAGGGAATATGCAATCCATATCTTCTTCCGTTTTCACTACATCCGGTTTATAACAGGATTAAAAAGGCAAGATGAACAATATGTTTTGGTTCCAGCCGACAAGGCTTGTAACAATATTGTCTTTGTTTGTAAGGCTCATTATTATAACTGTATTTTACAAGAACTTGGTTTTAATTCCAGGTTCGGAAATCAAACTTATACTCGCAGTTCACTTTCTAAAGCTGAAGTTCTTCAAAATCACATTTCAGTGTTTAATATTTTTAACATTCCAGTCAACCAAGATGAGTTCGATCCACCCTACCCATACTGGATTCCATAAAAATCCTACAAATATACATTGCCAAGTGCAGTTGCTAAAAATGTTAACTTCATTAAAGGAGAAACTTCAGGCGTATTGTGCTACAGCATATTCTAGAAATGGTGTAAATCAGATGTGGATTCTCAAAAACTCTGAAGAACTTCTAGAAAATTTAACAACGCCAAATTTTTCAGAAGTCAGTAACATCAGGACTTATGATTTTTCTACACTTCGTACAACCATTCCCACGATATATTAAAAATAAGACTTTTATATAGCATAGACCACTGCTTCTTCGATAAAAAGGGAAGAAAATATTCGTATCTTGTGATTGGTCATCTACAAAATTACCTTTTTTAAAAATCACTCTATTCTATACATAAGTACTCTGAATAAATATATTAATATGAAATCATCATCCGGTTATGCAATTTCAAGTTTGTTCAGTTTGAATTCCATAGGGTATGACGGGGTCACAATCAATCATAAACTTTTTGCATAGACAAAATAGTGAACAATCTTTGAAATTCTTCGCGGAGGACCATGATAAGTCACACATCTTCATGTTATGCAGATTTTTATTTTTTCCACCAGGGATAAGTACGGTGTGTCCACAATCTGGGATCATTTTTTACAGTGGAATATACAGTGAAAATCTTTAGAAAATCTTTTCATGAATAGCAAAGACTTCAGTGGTCATGTTAATAGAAAACATAGTAAGTTGGTGCAGAATTAGATTTGTTGGTATCATGGATCGAGGGGTAGGGTGGGGCCACGATAAGATATCCAACTGTTGTATGAAAAATATACAGATTAAAAAAAAATTAAAATATCCTCGAGAACAACAAAATCATGATTTGTCATAAAAATCATGAATGCATGCATCCTCAGATAGTGCAGCTTGGTTTTGTTTTCAAATTGTGAACACTAGGGATATTGTAAATCCACTATAAGGGATCATGGCTTTACTAAAATAAAAAGGAATTCAATAAAACAAGAGTTGTAAGTCAAAGTACTAGTAAATTGTATTCAAATGCAAATTATTCTTTAGTTGTGCTGATACGTCCTTTTTTAATTATGGCCCCTTGAGCTAGGGTGGGACAAAAGTCCAGGCAAAATGTGTTTAAATCAGAATTTCAATTTTGATCCTCTATGCTGCATTTTATTTCAAATTTGATAAATCATATCGTGAAGAGGGGTTTGTTTTTATTTAGAATGGTGCACATTCATCAATTTGCCAAATATCGGAGGTTGTCATTTGTTTAAACCTGCACCTTCTTGTCCCCCTCTATTTTCGCCACTCTATCAATTTTAGACACTCAAATGTATGACACCATTTGTTATATACATATCTTGTATTTAAGAGTTAACAATCAAGTACATGTAGATGTACTAAACCTATGAGTTTTTTTTTTAAAATTAAAACACGTTTTGTTTTTATCTTGCTCTTTAGAGCCGCCATAGTTCCTTCCTGGGGACAATCAATGATTTTTACGTAAAACCATGAATTCATGCAATTTTATTTGAAAGACGTATTTCTAAATCTAGATCATGGTCTTTCCAGGATATACATTGAACTACAAAATTTGATTTGTTTAATATCTACTAATTGAAATGAAAAAACGGGAGAAATCACCCTATTCATGTAATTTGAGTTTTTTGATAATCTAAAGTTTCACAAATCAATTTCCTAAGAATCAATCTTAGAAAAGTGGACCTGACGATACATCTATTATTATAGTGTTTAATCTGTTATAAGGGTCTCTTAAAAAATCTATAATTAATGAAATATATGCCATCAAAATTTGAACTAATAACAATTTATCATAGTATGTGAAAAATTTAAACGCAATAAGAAAGATTTTGAAATGATAAATATCACACCGTGTACGAATACCTTCTTGTGATTTATTCAGCTTTTATATAATGCATATTTCTGCTATGCCTGTTATTAAATCGCGTAGTTTACAACGCTCGTAAATATCAACGTTTTCATTAAATGGAGAGAAAAAAAGTTCAGCAAAGTTTATCAGCAAATATGTTTAACTCTTTATCTAATTGCAGACCATATAAATGAGTTCATGGATATTTTATTTTCAAAAAGAATATTTATTTGTTGTTACAATGTCATCTTTTTGCTTCCAACGAAGAAAACGTCAAGGTAGCACAGTCGGTAAAGCGCTTGCTCCGTGATCGGAAGGTCATGGGTTCGATCCTCGGCCGCGACTGACCTAAGTCGATAAAAAATAAATAGCAAAATAGCAATTGTTCCTTCGCCAAGCGCTGGGCAAATTGAAGCGAAAGCTGTGAATCTTTCTGATGAGACCTTAAATTCCAAGGCCCCGTGTCACGGCAGGCGTTGGCACGATAAAGAACCCTCACTGCTCGATGGCTCTGACTGCCGAGTAAAGGGCTAAATTTGATGCCCTTCAACGGTATATGGTGAGGTCTCTATATGAGTGAAACATTCTTAAACGGGACAACAATCAATCAATCAATCCAAGGAACAAAACATTTTCTTCTGAAATGGTTAGACCATAAGGAAGAAACAGTCCATTCCCAGTTATATATGACAAAAACTGACCATCACACCAACCACGTAAACACGGTCGTTATAGCAATCCGCTATCACAATCCTTGGCATCGTGTCTGTGGCGATTCCGAATGAAATAAAGGACAAGTTTGTCTTCGACTTTAAGTTATCAGTATAAGGAAACCTCAGCTCTCTCTTTTTTTTATTCACAACAATTACGGTCAATGATCCGATGACTGAAACACAGATATCCAAATTTCTGTTTTCAGCCACGTGCATCATACCAAATCCGGAACTAGACAGTGGTCTATTTTTTTGTCATTCTGAATTTCCTGTGACATATTTGGTCCTGAATAACGAACAACTTTGCCCTGAAAATCATTTTCACTTCGCATGCAGACCACCAGGTCTCCAGAAGAGGTGGTACATATACCATAAGATTTCCACTTTGTGAGAGAAATCAGCTTCTTCGATTCCCCGTTTCTGACTATCCTCATCGCCTTATCCGTATTGCTTTTATAACCTGTTCTGAAGGAATATCCACATTTTTCTAAACATTAATGTTTCAATTTATTCGTCTGATAGATCTACTACTTGCCTTTCAAATCTCTTCAGTATATACACAGGTCACATGTCAAACCACAGTTAAGAACTATCAGTAGTGATGGCGATTGTATGAGAGAACTTGATTTCTGGATCCCCAAAGGCATTTTCTTTACATTTTATGACGCTTTGTAAAGATCCCCAAACTCCTCTCTGATGTTTTCTTCACTGATGGCCTTTGGAGTGAATGTAGGAAAAATAATGTCAACTTTAACTCAGTAAATTCCTCTAGATTTGGATCGAAGCGAATAAATTCTTTTGCTGAATTTACTTGCAAAATACTCCTACATCTGGAAGCTTAAGAGTGACAGCCTTTCAAAAGCTTGATTTCTATCAAATTATAGTCGGTCTTCCTTATATGGCTCTGTGTCATGATGTGAAGGTTAAAAACTTTTTCTGTGCGATTATATTATGTATTATTTTGTTCCATTTATTTTCCTTTCCTGAATGGCGATTATGAACGATTCGTACTTAATACAAAAAATAATAGTATGCACATCTTATACGAAACATAACTTTTATCCTTATGTTTAGAAAAATTACACTTAAGACCGGTCTCCACGTCCCGCAGTGGGATTCAAACACGTGAAGTAAGGAACAGCTCCTTACAACGCGACTCTAACCACTGCACCACGCGGATGACCATATCATTGTTTTTCACCACCTAATTTCATTATTGCATGATTGTTCTCTGAAATATGATGCTTATGTCGTGATTACTTATAGATATTTACATTCTGTATAAAATTATATATCCTTGATTATAGATCATTTTTCATATATTTCAATTTGTGACATATATAATTTTTTTACGAAATGGAGAATATGAAAAGGTATATTTGTTTTTTTTCATATGCTTAATTCCTTTATGCTTTCTAATATATGATGGTTTTTAATTTATTTTCACAGTGGATTTGTACTGTTGCTGGTCGTGGTCACTACCGTGTTTGGTTCTATGAAGGAAACACCACAGCAGATCATTAACAAATACAACAACTACAGGACAATCTGTACTGGACTTGGATATCAGAACCTAAGCTGCAAAGCTGACAACAAAGGTAAGGGATGTTTTTACAACTTTGAAGTCGGTTTATGACGAATTACTAATTTAAATGTCCCCATTTTCCTTATTTTTTATCAAAGTTATGTTTTGGAAGAGTATAGATAAATTGACTTCATCTACAAGTTTTAAAATATGACTTGAGGAAGATTGCATTTACCCTTGATAACTTTTTATTTTGAAGGGAAAAGATCAATTGCTTTTCAATCGTCACTAAGCAGTGACTTGGAGAACATAGGAAATCAACAGACAGTGATATTTGACAGGGTAACCTTGAACGAAGGAAAATGTTATGATAAAAAGACTGGTGTGTTTACCGCCCCTGAGGAGGGTGTGTTTACCTTCAGCTGGACAATGATGTCAAAGGCAGGTAAATATTTTGTCAGTGAGATAGTACACGACGGCAAACTCATTGCATATAACCACTCTGATGGAAGAGGTCTCACTGGTTATGTTACGTCATCAAATACTGCCAACATCAAAATGAAGAAAGGACAAAAAGTATGGATTAGAGCCCACAGAAGCTTCGGCCAATTTGCCAATGGTGGATATTGGTGTAATTTTTCCGGAAATAGGTTATAAATATCAAGTATATATTAAAACAAAACTTGAATAAAATTACTTGTTTTGCTTTCACTTGGATGGGTGGTGTGCATGGATAGCGTCCTTATACCAGCACCAAAACATTCTCTTTTGACCTATAAATAATTTTCATATAGAAATATATTGCTTATTTTCGCCAAATTAATTAAACTCCTCACCATCACTTTATGGGCATGACCTTAACCTGTAATACATAACTTCAATTTTAGCCACGGTTATGAGATGTCTGATCAGTAATAGCATATCAAGTTTAAAATCAAATTATCTCACTTATATTTATATGACTCGTTATCTAATCTTGTAAGTCATGGCATAGAGGTATATCCATATGACATTTTGAGATATCAAGTCAAATATAATATATAGGAGATAACCAATGTTTGTTTACACAGGAAGTAGCTGTCGCCATGTGCTACAACAGAGCATGTGGATGTTTTCTCTTTCTTTTAATAAGTAGCTTCACATTTCAGCAGATTTAATAATCCCATTTCAACTATTTCAATTTAAAGCAAAGAATTTCACAGTTCATATAGCTAAATATCATAAAAATCTGTGTGCAGTACATTCGAACTGTCCAGTGTTTACCTGTATAAAGTACATGTGTTATGCATACCATGATGTGCATATTTCTAAATGTTCTGTCAAAAACTTTTAAAAATATAATGTTTTGATTACAAGCTGTTCTTCTACTAGAAATCTTACTGGAAAAGCTTCTATACCCAAACTTAGGAAAATCTGAACTGCAAATGTTATAATGTTTTCCACGTAATAGAATGTACTCTTTGTGGGCTTAATCATGTTGGCGAAACCAAGGGTTCTTCTAATAAAGAATATTTGGATATAGATTTCAAATTAATGGGTGCCAGCGGCTTCTCTACAAGAACTTTAATTTACCTGATCATTCTATTTTTGTCAATGAAATTAGAAATCTAAAAAAAAAAAAAAAAGATTTCTTACAAAAATACACCGACTATTGCTTCCAAACTTTTTAATTAAAAAAAACCCCTCTACAGTGCCTCCACCCTACAATTATATAGTTCTGCTAGATACATCATTACTGGTGGCGTGAAAATAGTTAATAATGAGTACTATACCTTAAATCACTTATCTTAAAACAGTCAAAATTTACGCTACCCAGATCTTTTATCTGGCGTCATAATTTCAAAAATATTATGAATTCTGTGGAAGATTACACGAGGCGATGCCATGCATGAAAAAGAAGACCTTGTCACTTTGTCTGAATCGATTAAAATTATCAGATGGATGTTAAAATCTCGCATTTAGTGGCTGAGGGGCAATATTAAAACAATATATTCTTCTTTCTTCAATAATCCAGAAGTGAAAAAAAGAATTAGATAGATTACACGATCAATTTGACTACTCCAAGCGGACAAAGCAAGTACATGTAACAACATTGTCTTTGGTTATGAGGCTCATTATATTTTTTATTTACTTTAGAGGAATTTTGATTTAATTAGGTAGTAATTGTCGCCCGCGTGGCGCAGTGTTTAGAGCGTCTGCTCTAGAGTCGCGGCGTAAGGAGTTGATCCTTACGTCTCGGGTTCGAATCCCATAGTGGGACGTGGAGACCGGTCCTTCGGATGAGACCGTATAAACCGAGGTCCCGTGTCGCAGTAGGTGCTGGCACGAAAAAGATCCCTCACTACTCATTGGCCGAGTATAGGACAAATTTGCAGCTCTCCACCGGCAAGTGGTGGCGTCTCCATATGAGTGAAAAATTCTCGAGAGGGACGTTAAACAACATACAAGCAAGTAGTAATTCAACTTATACTCATAGTTACTTTTTCTAAGAAATAAATTCTTCAAAATCATATGTCAGTCTTTGTTAATTTCCAATAATCAAACTGGATTTGAATTACCATACCTATACTGGATTCCTACATTGCAAAAAAATCTTACAAACAAGTAAACATTTAGTGGTTTCCAGTCAATATTCCACCAAGCTTTCTATATTCCTCAATGAAATTTTAACAGTTAGAATTTCAATTGTTACTAATTGCGCCCTGTTATTATCTTACGTATTTTTGTATTCATTTGAAGCAAAAATTATTCAGAAACTTCTACATGAAAAAGTAGACTCTTGCTATGAACTTCAATTCATATTTATATAATCAATATTCATATTAATTCCTACGTTGATTCGATATATCCCCTTGAACTAGAAATAAAACACAATATAGATTCAGACACATCTGCTTCATAATTGGATATTCTACTATAAAAAGACAAACTAAAAATAAAAATTTATGATAAACGTGATGACTTCAACTTTTCTATGATTAACTTCCTTTATTTATGTAGCAATATACCATTATGACCTGCATATGGAGTTTATGTCTTCCAGTTGATTCGATACGCAAGAGTATTTTTTACGTAAGAACAATTTCTAAAACGAGGCAAGATATTGACAATCAAGTTCATGATACAAGGATATCAACAGTCTCGTTTAAAGTCAACACTTTGCAAATTCTATGTATATAGAAATATACACGGAGAAATTCGCGCTAAAGTCAAATCATAATGAGGCTACAGAGACGTTAATAAAAATAGGACGACATAGGGCAGTGAGAAATTCAAACATTGAGTATATTTTTGGTGCATTTAAACGTGTAAAATGTTAATATAAGGAATGTTTTTAAGTTTAGTGTGAATTATTGGTGTGTAAATCACAGATTTACCCGTAGACATATTTTTCATGAAGCGCTAAAATATTATACAATACATTCGAATAGATGCAGGGTTCAATAATTTTATCTATAAACAAGATGTGTTTGTGAAACACTGATGCCCCCGTATTGCAACTTACAGCAAAGGTGAAACTTTCTCAAATGCAAATCAAATATGTTGGTACCAAAAGTAAGGTCTTGTCTCGAGGAATAAACCTGTGAAATATGAAAGCCCTAGCAGCAACCATTGAATAGATATGATAAGGGTTAAAGTTTTTCAAAGGTATATCAAACATCAAGGTCAAGTGGTCAAAATCAATGGAGCCCAAGGAAAGGCCTTCTCCCAAGAACTACACAGGTGAAATATGAAAGATGAAGCACCACTCGCTCGAAAGTTATAACCAAGGTTAAAGTTTTTCAAAAGTAGGTCAACCTCCAACCTACTTGTATCACTCAAGATCTCAATGTACAATACCTAAATTTACAGAAGCAATTAACATTTTTAAGTATTATAGAAAAATCGAAAAATATTGTGAAAGTAACTTTCATTGTAAAACTAAAATGTATAGTAAATGGGCAATGTTTGATTTGATTTGTTAATATAAGAAATTCTAATTAGTATAACTATAGCTGTAATATTGAACAGTTTTTTTTTTTTTTTTTTTTTTTTTTTTTTTTTTTGGAAAGGTGCACAGTGAGTGTGTGGATGTGTGTGGGTGTGGGTGTGTTTGTACATATATGCCTGTGTTATTTGATATTATGTATATGAAAACTTTTTCAAAAATAAAGCATTAAAAAAAAAGGTCAATCTCCAAGGTCAATGGATTACAATTGGTATCAAAAGAAAGGTCTTGTCAAAAGGATTACACATGTGAAGTATGAAAGCTCTAGCACCAGCCGTTCAAAAGTTATGGCCATGGTCAAAGTTTTCCAAAAGTGGGTCAAACTCCAAGGTCAAGGTCAAAGGGTCAAAGTGGTTGGTATTTGGAGAAAGGCCGTGTTACAGGAACTACACTGTCGCATGTGAAGTATGAAAGCCCTAGCACTAACTGTTCAAAAGTTATGGCCAAGGTTAAAGTTTTTCAAAAGTAGGTCAAACTCCTAGGTCAAGGTCAAAAGCTCAGATATGTTGGTATCCAAAGAAAGGTCTTGTCAAATGGATTACATATGGGAAGTATGAAAGTTCTAACAACAATTCTTCAAAAGTTATGGCCAAGGTTTAAGTTCTGTAAAATTTTGCAAAACTGGGTCAAACTCACCAAGGTCAAGGTCAAAAAGGTCTTGTCACAAGTAATACACATGTGAAATATGAAAACCATAGCTCCAACCAATCAAAAGTTATGGGCAGGGCTATAGTTTTTGCAAACAAACAGACAGACAGACGGACAGGGCAAAAACTATATACCCCCGAATCTTCGATACAGGGGCATAAAAATTTCCAAAATTGTATATCTGGCATCGTTTACAAAGAAACTTTTACACTACCATGACTTCATACATAGGGATAAATCAAGAAAAATCATACCATTAATAATTCCAAAACATCTGTAAAAAGCATTGATGGATGTTGTAAATTATGTAGCTAATTTATATATCTAAATTAAATACCAAAAAGAAAAACAAGCAATGACAAAAGAAAAAATAAATCAAAAGATCTTACAGGCTGACATTATTCCTATGTAATTAATTCCTAGGTTTTTCTTTTTCATATATTATTCACATTTGTATATGTGACCCTTGTTGAGACTGATTACTGTTCGATATCTTCATATTTTATATCTAGAACTGTTTTTAAATTTACTGGATTGAATCCTTTAGGGTTCATTGATAGCTATAATTCTAGTAGCAACTAATTAATATCAATTATTTTTCCCATGTGCTTAATTGTCTACCGATTGGTGAAAAAACCTACATGGATACAGGCCTTTCAGATGTGTGGATACAAGTATTTTTATTTTCAAGTTATGGCCCCTTGAGTTAGGTTGAGACTAAAGTCAGGAATAGAATTCATTAATTAATTTAAAGTTATAATTTTGCTTCTTTATGCTGCGCTTTATTTCTTATGTATTTGATAATAAGTATTGTTTACAGGCCTGTTTTAATTTAGAATAGCACAGATCCAGCAGTTTGCCTACTGTCGGATGTTAGGACATTTGTGTAAAATTGCATCCTCCTGACCCCCTTTCTTTTGCCTCTGTATTTGTTTTGTAACACCATTACAGAACATTAGACTCTGGCATCAGTTATTAATTCGCAGGTATATAACACCATCTCCTGTATAAATATCTTGTG